GCCGCTGTTGTAGTATGTATGGTGGCCTGAATCTCTGTAAGTCACTCCCAGAAGCCCAGCGTACATCATCCCAACCCATCCATTTTGCCCTCTGACTATCAACTTCATCAGAGAAACATCATAATTCCTGTGCTGACTAAAAACAAGCAGGTTTCGGAGCGTTCCCGTTACTGCAATAATCATCACAAAACAACAAGCACATTTTGCTAGATTGTAGCTCATTTCTCTCAAGAAATGATAGAGACTGTAGTGTCCTAAACTTGCATTGTGACTTTCCTCTTGTGAGAACCGCAAGCATGTCCCAAACTCATATAAAGGAGACCTCTCGCCCCAGCAGTGGAGCGCGGTCGGCTCCGAGATGAAACACGGCTGCTGCTGAACAGCAGGCACTGCCGATAAGGACAAGTCAGAACAGAAAGTGAAGATGATGCGGCATCAAACTGAAACCACGTTACCCAGTTTGGATTACACCAAAGCTGATTCCTTTATTCCTGTAAAAGTAACCTGGGATCTTTAAGGACAATATATTGTTACATTTTTATATGAAAAACCCCCATCTCCAGCAGCTCTGGAGGCTCCTACTTCAATGCTGGGCTATTGAAATCTTCTGGCGGGAGATTTTTATTTAGCCAGTCAACAACAGGATTTCCTGCAGCATCATGGGTTTTCCTCAGTGGTCTCCAATCGAAGTAACGATCCAGGTCATTACTGCTTTACTTCTAGAGACTGACAAGAATGCAGTCCAGGATGCCAGCACTATTCAAGAGTCTTCTCACTCTGAAAGCTGCTCAGCTATACTATCAGATCACACATACTACCATTGGTCACCTCTTATGAATTCAAATTTAAACTATATATGTGAAAAGCATAACGTCTGAAACAGTATATGCAATGTGCTTGCTACACTTGTTGAGCACTGATCCACCTTGCAAGTAAAGACAAAACAGTCACTGCCAAACCTGGAGTGATATCCTATCCCAACACTTATACGTGACTTTCACTGAGGTTAGTGAAAATCCTATCCACAGGGAGGAAAAATAAATGTATCATCGTCTTTCGCTTTTTCACCCATAACCAGCAAAACCAGTCATGGTTTTAGTCATCCCCTGAATTTCACAGTATTAACATGAACAAGATAAAATGCCGTGAGGCCAGTTTTCAGTCCAGGCTCCAACCTGGCCTCCATTTCTGCACGTAAACTTTGCACGTGCACGTTTCCAGTACCACAGTCTGAGTATTCGCACAAGTGAATGACACTTTTTGGGAAAGGGGGGCCCAAAAGAACCAAGCCACCCAAGGAAATCCAAAGATAGGGAAACAAGCTGAACTTAACACAAATCAAGCTTTGATATGCAGAATATGGGACACTGCCGAGATCCCATCTTGTCACAGCGTACAATGTACATGTGCTAAAGAAAAAATTAGGACATGCTGGGAGGACAGAGACATAAAATGGGATGATTTCTGTTTTGATCTGTCTGTAACATTTACTCCTAAACTCACACCCTGTACGCAGTAGGGAGGTTTTAGGAGCTCTGAAGGGGAACGGGGCAGTGGCTTGAAGAACCAGGATGGAAAGGACACTCCATGTATCCGGGATGGCTCAGAAAGAAAGCTTGAGTCAGAAGTAGGAGTGGAAGATGAATGGGGCACGAAAACTGGAACTGTAGGTGTTGAGAAGTGTCAAGGGCCAGAATAAGACACGTGGAGAGGAGTTATACAAGACAGTGAAGGGAAGGAAGGAAAGCTTGAGCTGATGGTTGAAGGAGAGCCAGCAATGGGATTCATCAGCTGGGCAACATTGTCTGATTAAGTGGGAGAGTCACAGAACTTGGAGGGTTAATGTTGTCCAGCTGCTAGTCCAGTGTATCCTTAGGCCAGTTGTAAGCTATAAGCATCCTTTGTCTGTGGCCATCCACGAAATGGATTCCAAACATTCCCTTCCTGCACGTCAGCCTTGCAAGTTGCCTTCATGCACAGAGATGCAGAAGAGAAGGAAGCGAGGACTCGAATATGCAGTAGTCTGGGAACTCAGTGTTGGAGAAGGAGCCCTTGGCTTGGCTGCACCTAGCTGACAGGACTTCAGTATGAACTGGGTAAATGCCACTTACCCACATACTAGTATATTGCCCCGTATGGGTACTAGAAGCCAGTCAAGAGACTCTGGGCCATTCTTAATAGAAATTATTGACTTCCACCACAAGAACAAGTTGCCTCCTATGCGAAGGAAAGTGGTGGTGAAGACTGAAAAAGGAACCATATCTGGACACTGGCAGTCAAATCAACTTCTTGCCTTTTTTCTGCATAATTTTTGAGGGTGGTTTTTGAAAGGTGATGAAAAACCAGCTCCAACTATACTTAGGTAACTCTGATGCCCTGGAATCCCACTGATGTGGCTGCAGCCCTGAGCAAAGAGAGCACGCTATTTCTTGGGTTATCATTCCCTGCTAAATGCTGACAACAGATCGGTTAATCCTCTCCTTCCGTGAGTCGGCAGAGGCCAGATTCCTTCCTGATTGTATTAGCTTTCTTAGTTGCCTTTGCTGCAAATTCATCAAGTGTGTCCTTGGCTCACTGGTGGGAACTGGCAAATGTGGATGGGCACAATTTTATAAAGGATCGCTTACATTTGGAAACTTCTCCCCCCAAGACTGGGAATTTTCAGGAGGCACTGCAAGGTACATTTATTCATCCTATGCTTTTATGAACAGATAGAGGTTGATGGGTTTCATCAGTTCCAATTCTAAACTATTCTTAATATTTGGCAAGTAAATAAGGGATATTTGAACCATACATTTGGATTCACTTCTTTTCAACCACCATGTTACTGTACATCTGTGCCCTCCTCAAGCTGCCAACAGGAGGCTACAGCTTGCTTTGTTCCATCTCCCAAGTATCACTAAACTAATGTACAGGAAGGCTTAGTAGAGGATTGTCCACAAGGGAAGATACACATGCAAATACAGCAACAGGATCAATGCAAACAGCATAGACATACTGAAACATTCAATTCAAATAGTAATAACGCATGCAAACCCATTTCAAGAGAAGACCTAATTCCTTTAATGGATTCACTTCCCTGGCTCCACACCATTTTTCTCCATCACCTCATAATCTGCAATCCTTGCCAAATCTTTACCAAATGAGCACATAAGTGGCCCTCCCCACCGACACAAAACACTGCTTCCTAGCTGTTCAGAGAAGCCCTCTGTTTCCCAAAGCCTCTGCTCCTCTCCATAACTTAAAATAAAAAGCTGTTTCTAAAGTTTGACACTGGAAACTGAAGAATGACACCTTCTGTTGCTATCAGGCAGGGAGGCTGCCAGTATTTCCCTTGTGAGATCTGCTACAGGCTGTTATATCACTGGAAACAAACTTATGGCCACACTATACATGCAAAGGACTGAAAAGCACCACTGGCTTGTGAACAAGCTTTAGTCAATCCAATTCAGGTGATACAAAATGCAGAAGAGGCTACCTGTCTGCAAAAAGGTACCTGACACCCGTTTTGCCAGAAAATCCTGACATGAAACACAGCCCAGAAGCAGGCAGTGTGTTCAGAGACAAAGCTCTTGGGAAATGTGCACATTCAACACAATCTCCGCTAACAAGTCTCCTGAAAAGCTAGGGCCAGATGTTAAAGCTGTTCTCCTGAGGTAGGGCCCTACCTACTCTTGCTGCTGAGGAACTCTGCACCGTATCTCAAGCAAACAAGCCCCACATAGGTGGATTAATGCACAGACCAGCTGGGCCTGGACCCAGAGCCCCAGCTAAACAAAAGCCCCCGGGTGCCTGGAGGGTGGGCACGGGGCGGGGGGCAGCTCAGTAAGGATGAAACCGGCGGCCAGGCCAGGCCGAGCACATGCAACACAGTGGGCTGTGGCTGCCCGTAGCGGGCAGGGTGTGGGGCGCGGGGCACAACCGCACCAGAGCCCTAGAAGCAGCCAGAGCTGCTGGCGGCAGGGAGCAGAGTGAGGCTGGGACCTGGCAGTGGCGGGGG